TCCCTTCCACGGGGCTGGGAAAGGCAGGGGCAGTACCGTGGGAATCCTGAACGCACGTGCAGGCCATCCACGTTCTGGCTGACCAGGAATTTCAGGATTCCGACTCTCTGCAGCCCCAGCAGCGCCATGTGGGTCTTGGAGGGCCTGGCGTTCTCAAAGGTGGTGTCGAATTTTGGGGAGAGCCCTTTCTCTTCCATAGTCCAGACACCATTGGGGCCCCTGCAGAAAGAGGGAAAGAGGGAGAAGGGAGAGCTCAGGCCCCATCCGTGTGGGATGAGCCAGGCCCTGCGGAATGGAGGTCATGGACCACCAGGATTTCGGTGGTTGATGCAAGCAGAGCACACGGGGGGATTTTGTGGGAAGAGCTGAACATCAGGGAGGTGTGAAAAAGGTGTTCACAGCTGGATCCAGGATGGATGGGATGGATGGATGGGTGGGTGGGTGGATGGATGGATGTAGGGGTGGATGGAAGGAGGGATGGAGGGAGGGATGGATGGAGGGATGGATGGATGGATGGATGGATGCAGTAGGTCTGGCTGGGGTAAACCAGAGCTTTCCAAGAGCTTTCCAAGCTGGAAGATGGACTTGGAGGAGGTGCCATCCCCTTACCTGAAGTCAGGGATCCCCGAGGCCGTGCTGATTCCTGCCCCTGTGTGAAACACCACATTGGAGGAGCTCCGGATCAGCTCCGCCAGCTCCCGGACCTTCCGCTCCAGCTCCTCCGGAGGGTCGAAAATCTGGGCAAGGAGACAGACCCGGGATGTTGGGATGTGGGGCTGGATCTCCATGGGGTGCATGTGATGGTGGGTTACATTAGGAAGGAATTCCTCCCCGGGAGGGTGGGGAGGCCCTGGCACAGGTTTTCCCAGAGAAGCTGTGGCTGCCCCATCCCTGGAAGAGTCCAAGGCCAGGTTGGAGCAACCTGGGATAGGGGAAGGTGTCCCTGCCCATGGCAGAGGGTGGGAATGGATAATCCTTCAGGTCCCTTCCAACCCAAACCAGTCTGTGATCCTATGATCCCACACACCTCCCAGTATCCCACAGCTCTTCCTTATCCACAGAAGATTCCACATTCCTTAACAACAGAAGCATTTAAAGGGAAAGGAACCCCCCTGTCCAAGCCCTCTCCGTGCAGGGGGCAGGGCCGGGAACACCCAACGCTCCCGAGGTGTTTGTTGCTCTCCCAGGCAGCTGATCCAGGCTGGGCTCCAGGAGTGACCTGGGGCCACCCCACGTGTCCCCAGCTGTCACCAGCAGTGCCACCAGCCACGGGGACAGTGAGGGACACAGGAGCCATGGAGGTGGGACACGGGTTTGGGGGGGGGGGGCACTGTGCCCACCTGGATTGAATTTCTGAGATGCTTCTCCAGCCCCATCTCCTGGGGACAGGGACAAGGACAGGCTCCTGTGTGTCCCTGTCCCCTCACCCCAAACCCTCTTTTAAGGGTCCCAAGTACTGCTGGGGCTCAGGGGGGGACGTGGAGGGATTTGGGGGACACATGGAGGGGACATGGAGGGTGTCATGGGGTGGGACTGAGGGGGACAGAGAGGGGGACAGGGAATGGGCCTAAGGGAGATATGGGGGGAAACATGGGGTGGGGATTATGGGGGCATGGAGGGGGTCATGGGGTGGGACTGAGGGGATAAGGAGGGAGCCAGGGGGTGAGATGGGGGGGAACATGGAGGGAATTATGGGAAGGGCCTGGAGGGGTACAAGGAGGGGGACAGGGGGTGGGCTGAAGGGGGGGCAAGGAGGGACCCATGGGATGGATCTAGGGGGACAAAGAGGGGGCCACGGGGTGGGACTGGGGGGGGGACAAAGAAGGAGCCATGGGGTGGATCTGGGTGGGATAAGGAGGGAGCAGTTGGATGGGGCTGGGGGGGCCATGGAAGGGGCCACGGAGGGGGAGCCAAGGAGAGATATGGGGGGCCAAGGAGGGGGTCACGGGGTGGGGCTGGAGGGATAAGGAAGGAGCCGTTGGATGGGCCAGGGAGGGCCTGGAAGGGGCCATGGAGGGGGGCCAAGGAGGGTTGCACGGGGCAGGGCTGGGCACACACAAAGCGCTCGGTCCCTCCCCAATGTTGGGCTCCCCAGGGGTGTCCCCGCGGGGGCCTCGGCCGCGGTTGCCATGGGAACGCGCGGGGCCGGAGCAGGGCCCGCGGAGGGCCGGGGGGGGGCCCGGGCGGGCGGCGGTTCCGCTGCGGGCGGGCCGAGACACCCCCCGGGCGGTCGGAGGGTCCCCCCCGCGGGCGCTGCTCACCTCGGGGAGGCCGCACTTGCCCTTGTCCGAGTACGGGGACAGCCCGGCCGCGTAATTCACCGCCATCGGCGCGGCCGCACCGCGGCCGGAAGCGGGGCGCCGAGGGGGCGGGGCCTGAGCGGGACACGCCCCCCGTGCCACCGCCGCCATCTTTGTGTCGGGCAAAGCCAAGCGCTTGCCCAAACCTTGCCCAAACCTTGCCCAAACCTGGGCTGTGCCCCCCCAACCCGGGCTGTGATGGGGGAGCGGGGAAAGGGGGTGACAGGGATGGGCGGGAGGTGGCAGGAATGGGCAGGAGGTGACAGGGGGAGCAGGGGGTGCTGACGGGTGCCAGTGAGGGCAAGGGGGTGCCATGAAGGGCAAGGTAGGACAGGGGTGACAGGGGAGGACGGGGGGAATCAGGAGGTGCTGGCAAGGACAGGGGGTGCCAGGGAAGGATGGTGCATGCCAGGGAGGGACAGGGAGTGCCAGGGAAGGGCAGGAGGTGCTGGCAAGGACAGGGGGTGCCAGGGAGAGTCAGGGAATGCCAGGGAGGGGAAGGGGATGTCAGGCCAGGACAGGAGGTGCCACCAAGGTCAGGAGGTGCCAGGGCAGGGCAGCGAGTGCCAGGGAAGGACAGAGGTACCATCAAGGACAGGGGGGTCAGGGAAGAACAAGGGGAGTGCCAAGGAAATTCAGGGGGTGCCAAGGAAATTCAGGGGGTGCCAACCATCAGGAGCCAGCCGTGCCCGTCAGCAGTTGCAGCCCCAGCCCCCCTGAGAGGGTTGAGCAGCCCAAGCTGAGCCCCCCCAGCTCCCCCTCCAGCCCATGTCCCCTCTGCCCCCTGTCCCTGGCACTGCAGGGACACACAGACACACAGACAGACAGACCCCCCCGGGCTGTAACCGCAGCCGCAGCCGTAACCCAACTCCCCGGGTCCTGTTCCCGGCTCCGCTGCGGCTGCGGGGACACGGGGACAGGGCTGGGAACAGCGGGACGGGACGGGGGGGCTGAGCTGTCCCCGGGGGGGACAGACCTTCCAGCACGGCCATCCCCCCTCCAGGTGCCACGAGGCTGAGGCTGGAGCCACCATGAAGAGCCTGAGGGCCAAGTTCAAGAAGGGAGACGTGAGTGCCATCCCTGGGGGCTCGGGGGCACGGGGACCTCTCCTGGGATGTCCACAGGGACACGGGGACGTGCCCATGAGGATACAGGGATACAGGGACCTGCCCTGGGATGTCCACAGGGACACAGGGACCTGCTGTGGGATGTCCTTGAGGACACGGGGACCTGCCCTGGGATGTCCACGGGGACACGAGGACAAGGGGACCTGCCCTGGGATGTCCTTGGGGACATGGGGACCTGCCCTGGGATGTCCATGGGGACGAAGAGACCTGCCCTGGCATATCCACATGGATGTGAGGACATAGGCATGTCCTGGGCTGTCCATGAGGACACAGGGATACAGGGATCTGCCCCAGGATGTCCACAGGGATGTGGGCACTGGCTGTGGGATGTCCTCAAGGACACGGGGACCTGCCCTGGGATGTCCACAAGGGATATGGGGACCTGTCCTGGCACATCCACAGGGACGTGAGATCATGGGGACCTGCCCTGGTGTGTCCTTGGGGACATGGGAATCTGCTCCAGGATGTCCCAGGTTTTACAGGGACACGTAGACCTGCCCTGGGATGTCCATGAGGACACAGGGATACAGGGACCTGCCCTGGGATATCCACAGGGACACGGGAACCTGCCCTGGGATATGGATGGGGGGGACCTGCCCCAGAATGTCCCAAGTCTTACAGGGACTTGAAGACATGGAGATTTCCCCCAGGATGTCCCCAGTGCCACAAGGACACGGGAACACCCCCTGGGACAAGGGGTGGCCGCTCCCCACGGGGACAGCAGCCCCAAGGAGGTTGGCACTGCCACCCTGGCCGGTGGCATCGAGCCCCCAGTGCACCCCGAGTGCTCCCAGAGCCATCCTTGGGAGCGGGGCAGAACAAAGGAGAGGGAAGCAGGTCCCAGGCCCCCTCCCTGTCCCCTCCCTGGTGACAACTGCCAGCTTTCCAGCTGCCACAGCCCGCGGAAGCGGCGAGTCGATGCTCCTCAATTATTCAGGAGCCGCCTGGCACGGGCCGAGGGCTCTGCCCCGGGGGCACAGGGTGACAGGGCGGGTGACAGGCAGCCGGGGGACACGGCTGGGGACACGGGGACACAGGTTGGAGCCCCCCACGCGGAGTCCGGGGGGCTCCCACCTCAGGGATGCTCCGTGCCTCAGTTCCCCCGCTCCGCCCCGGACAATCCCCTGGGATACTCCCGCTGTCCTGCTGCTCCCGGGGCTCTGCCAGGGCAGTGTCTGGGGACCCTCTGCATTTTGGGGGGAGTTCGGGGGGGCCCTGAGATGCAGGCGGGGGGTCCTGCGCCCCCTTGGCCGCTGGGCTGCGGTAGGAGGTCAGTCCGTGCCCCCAGGGCGGGGCAGGGGGTCCCACGTCCCCCTCCTCGGGGGGCAGGATCTGGGGGGCAGGAGGATGCTCAGCCCTGCTTGGGGGGGGGGGGGTTGACGCCTCGCTTGAGCTTGGGGTGGGAAAGCTGGAACTGGGACCAGTCTGGGTGCTGGTCGCTAACTGGGGGATGCTCCGTGGCGGGATGCGGGGATGCTGAGGAGGGAGGGAGGGAGGGGAGGAGGAGGGAGGGACGGAGGGATGGAGGGAGGCGGGTCCCGCTTCCCACTGCGGCAGCCCCTGCCCCGCCCGGGCGGCGATGCTGCTCCGAGCCGGGCTCTGGGGTGGGCGGGCTGGCCCAGGCGGGGGGCGCGGGGTTTATGGCTGCCCGCCGCCTCCTCCTCAGCACCATGAAGCAGATCTGCCTCTGTGCCGCCGCCTCCTTCGCGGTACGTCCCCCCTCGGGACCCCCCTCCTCGGGACCCCTCCGGTCGCGTCCCGCGGGCTGAGCCGCGTCCCCCCCGCCCCGCCTGCATCCCCCGCGACCCCCCATCCCCGGCCCCACCCCGGGGGCTCCCCCTGCGCCCTCCCCAACCTGCTTTGTCCTTGCCCCGCGAGGGAGTGGGGGGCGCGGGCACCACCCTCCCAGTTTGCCCAGTAACCCTGGGAGACTGGTGTGCTCCCGGCCCCACCGGGCTGGAGGGGCTCCGAGGGGCTCGGAGGGGCTCCCGGCGGGCACGGTGCCCCCGGGCTGGCTCGGGGCACGGTGCCAGCAGCTCCCGAAAGGTGACATCCATTTCCTGCCGCCGCGGCCGCAGCCGGCTCGGCTTTGTCGTCACCGGCTGCGGGGTGAACCCAGGACTTCCAGTCCTTGTCGTGGTGCTGTCCCGCTGCGGGTCAGTCCCTCGGGATGGGGATGAACGGGAGCACTGGGAAAGCAAGGTCCTTTCCAGCCCCGCTGCTGTGTGCATGGGGACAGCGTTGTGCCCCGTTATCCCGGCGAGGCTGGAGCATCCCAGGGGAGCTGCCCCGGCTTGGTCCTTTCCTCCTCAGGGCTGGGATTGGGATCAGTGGGGAGAACTGGGCAGGGTGGGGCTCCCTTGGGTGCTGGCTGTGTTTACTGGGGTGGCAGGGGCAGCCGGGCTCGTTCCCAAATCCCAGCCGGTCCCAGCCGGGCACTCCTGGGTCTGTAAATGCCCTGGTCTGTGAGCTGCAAACTGGGAGGGGCTGGAGGGGACCCTCATCCCAGTGCCAGCTGAACCCTCCGTGCTGGGGGTGGGACAGCAGAGCCCCCAGCAGAGGGGCTGGCACAGAGACGGGCACCCCAAGGGGCAGGGCTGGGTGCAGGACAGCAGGGACGGGGGCAAAGACAGTCCCCAGCCCAGCCCTGGGGACAGCACAGTGTCACACACAGTGTCACACACAGTGTCACACACAGAGTGTCACACACAGTGTCACACACACACAGTGTCACACACACACAGTGTCACACACACAGTGTCACACACAGTGTCACACAGTGTCACACACAGTGTCACACACAGAGTGTCACATACACAGTGTCACACACAGTGTCACAAACAGAGTGTCACACAGTGTCACACACACAGTGTCACACACACAGAGTCACACACGGTGTCACACAGTGTCACACACACACAGTGTCACAGTGTCACACACAGAGTGTCACAGCCTCCTCTGGGCTCTGTTGCAGAGCCAGGACTGGACCAAGAACGACGAGAAGCTCCTGCAGGCCGTGGACTACAACGATGCCGGGCGGGTGACGTCGCTCCTGGTCCGCAAGGGCCTGGTGCCCACCAAGCTGGACTCAGAGGGCAAATCCGCGTGAGTGCCACCCCACGCCCCGGGGACAGGGACACAGGGGACGAGGGACACGAGTGCCACGGTGCCACAGCCCCCTGGTCTCGCTGCAGGTTCCACCTGGCTGCCACCCGGGGGAACGTGGACTGCCTGGAAGCCATGCTGGCCCACGGCGTGGATGCCATGACCAAGGACAGCTCGGGTGAGGGCAGGGCCACCACGTGCCCCTGGCTACTGCCACGGGCCGCCCAGGGCCACCTGGTTGTCTCCAGGGGACAGAGGTGACGGCCACGCCAGGAGCTCAAACCCTGAGCGATGAGGCTCCCGGGGATGTCCCTGTGTGCCCGTCCCGTGTGCCCATCCCTCTGCGTGTCCCCCAGGCTGTCCCCTGTGCCACAGACCTGCTGTCCGTGCTCTGACCTGTCTGTCTGTCCCTCCCCAGGATCCACTGCCCTGCACTTGGCCTCCAAGCACGGGCACCCTCAGTGTGTCAGCAAACTGCTGCAGGTACGGGCGGGTGGGGAGGGAGGGAGGAGGAGGAGGAGGAGGAGGAGGAGGAGGAGGAGGGTGCTGTGCCAGCAATGTGTCCTCCCTGTCCTTGAACCCCCTTCCCTCACCAGTGCCCTGACCTGGCATGGTGATTCCTGGCTCTGTGTGGTGCTGCCTGGCACCTGCCCGGCCTTCCACGATGCCACAGAGCCACAGCTGGCTGTCTGTCCCCTGTCCTTCATCACATCATGGAGCCACAGCTGGCTGTCTGTCTGTCCCCTGCCCTTCACTGTTCCAGGCAGCTGTGTCCACTCAAGGAGTCTGTCTGTCTGTCCCCTGTCCTTCACTTGGCTGTTTGTCTGTCTGTCCCCTGTGTTCCATCACACCACAGAACCCCTGTCTGTCTGTCTGTCTGTCCCCTGCCCTTTACTGTGTCACGGAGCCACAGGCTGTCTGTCTGTCTGTCCCCTGCCCTTTACTGTGCCACGCAGCCATGCCCACTCAAGCAATCTGTCAGCCTGTGCCCTGCCCTGCCCCGTGCCACAGAACCACATCCCCTCAAGCAGTCTGTCTGTCTGTCTGTCTGCCTGTCTGTCTGTCCCCATCCTGTAACCCGGGCTCTGTCCCTCAGGCCTCCTGCCCCGTGGACGTGGCCGATGGCAGCGGCCGGACCGCACTGCACCTGGCAGGTGAGTGGGGACAGTGGGGACAGTAGGGACAGTGGGGACAGTGGGGACAGAGGGGACAGTAGGGACAGTGGGGATAGAGGGGACGGTGCCACCCTGCCCTGCCCCGTCCCTGGGGAGGGAGCGCTCAGCTCTGTCCCTTCCACAGCCGTCAGCGGCTGCATCTCGTGCTCCGAGATCCTCTGTGACTTCAAGGCTCCCTTGAACATCAAGGACAAGGTGAGGTCCTGCTGCTCCTCCTCGTGCTCCTCCTGCCAGGCTGCGCCTGCAGGGTGTGGAAATCGGGGGGGGGGGGGGGGGATACGGGGGGGCCCCCTCGGCTCCCCCCCCCCCCCCCCCCCGCCCTGCCCAGGACGGCTCCACCCCCCTGATCCTGGCTGCCAAGATGTGCCACTCGGAGCTGTGCCGGTACCTGCTGCACCGCGGGGCCGCCGTCAACAGCCGGGACCTGCAGGGCAGGTGGGGCCGCGCCGGCGGGCACCGGGAGGGCAACGTGGAGACCGAGGGGATGCCCCCCCCTCACCTCTGCTGTCCCCCTGTGCCCAGGACAGCCCTGATGCTGGCCTGTGAGAGCGGCAGCGTGGAGACCGTGGAGGTGCTGGTCAACGCCGGCGCCCGCGTGGCCGTGGTCGACGCCACGGGCCACGACGCCGCTCACTACAGCCTGGCCACGGGCAACGCCCTCATCCAGCACTTCCTGCAGGAGGCTGCTCAGCGCCGCTCCTGGGCCAGTGGTGAGGCAGCCCTGGCACCCTGGTGCTCCCTGTGCCCCGGGCATGGAGTATGAGGGGGTCGTCACCCCGCAGGGGAGGGACTCGCGGGGGGATTGGCACCGTCAGGGCGCTTTGGGGTGGGATGGAGGAGGCTGGGTGAGGCTGGGGGGCACATGGCCCCTTCTCCTGGGTGCCAGAGCTGCCTTTGGCTGTGCTGTCGCCAGCTGAGGTGGTGCTGAGCCTCGGTGTCTGCGCGTGCTTGCACACGCGTGTTCACACGTGTTTGCGTGGGAGGGGGTCTAAGAACACGGGTGTTTTCAGATGTGTCTGTGTGTGCACGTGTCTCCCCGTGTCTGCACTGCATCCCTGTCCTTCAGACCCGTGTACATCCCTGTATTTGTCTGTCTGTGTCCCTTTGAACACTGTGCACTCATGTATGTGTCCCCTGAGTGCCCCCACACCCACGCAGGCTCTGGTCCCCTAAAAACTTCCCCTGTTTCTCTTCCCTCCCGCTCTACCCCTCAGAAGAGGAGTCAACTGAGCAGACATCCCAGGTGAGGGTCTGCCAGGGGGTCCCCCAGGGCTCTCTGAGGTGGCACTGGGTCAGGGAGGACAGAGGTCACCGTGGGTGTGATGTCCCCTCTGCCCTGGTGTCTCCACAGACCTCCTCACCCAGCCAGTCATCCGTCAGGGAGAAGAGCAGCACCCCGAGGAAGAGGAAGGCCCCTCTGCCTCCCCTGGGCACCCTCAGCCAGGTGAGAGGGGGTCCCCCTTAGCTCCAGGTCCTCACCTGGCTCGCTTGCAGGGCACACCCCTGTGCCAGCCTCGGGGGGTCCACACCCTGCCAGAGCCTTTCCTTCTCTCTCTGGGGTCAGAAAGTGCCCTCAGGCACACGGTGGGATTTTTGGGGTGTCCCGTGCCAGGAGTTGGACCCGACGATCCTCGTGGGTCCCTTCCAGCTCGGGGGATTCCACGATCCTGTGATTACCCGCAGGACGACCGGGACGCCTACGAGGAGATCGTGCGGCTGCGGCAGGAACGGGCCCAGTTCCTGCAGAAGATCCGGGGCTTGGAGCAGCAGGAGAAGCAGCGCCGGGAGGTACCAGCTGCAGGGGCATGGGGAGATGCCACCCTGTCCCTGGGGAGCGGAGGGGACAGCGGGGATGGGGACAGCGAGGATGGGGACAGCGGGGATGGGGACAGCGGGGATGGGGACAGCAGGGATGGGGACAGCGGGGATGGGGACAGCATTCATCCCTCCCTGTTTTCTCTCTGGGTCCTGCTAGAGGGCAGAGCTGGACGAGGGCTCCCTGCGCTCCATGGAGAAGCAGGTAAAGGCCAGTGAGGAGCTCAGGGGTGCTCCTGGTGCTGGGAATGCCATCGGGACTCCGGCAGGAGCCAAGAGGACCCTATTCCCACGTCCTGCCCCACAGATCCAGGAGCTGGAGCAGCAGCTGGCGGCCCGGGATGGGGAGAAGGAGCAGCTGGGCAAGGAGGTGGAGGCTCTGCGGAGCCGCTTGTCCTCACTGGAGGTGGGTGTGGGCAGCAGCTGGCAGTGCCAGGGGTTGGGGGGTGTGTGTGTGTGAGGGTCACCACCACCCTGCGTCCCCAGAACGAGAAGGAGAACACGAGCTACGACATCGAGACACTGCAGGACGAGGAGGGAGACCCGCTTGAGTTCCCAGGTAGGGCCCTGAAGGCCTCCCAAGGTCACCTCGGGGGGTGGCGCTGGGGAGTGGGGGTGTGGGTGGGCACGGGTGGGCACCAAGCGGAGTTCCTGTGCCCCGCAGGAGCGGAGCTGCTGCTCTCCAAGAAGACGCTGAGCCCCTCGGCCGAGGAGCTGCTGGCCACGCTGCAGGGGCAGGTGCAGTCCCTCACCGTGCAGAACAAGGAGCTGAGGGACAAAATACAGGCACGTCCCCGTCTGTCCATCCGTCCGTCCCTCCCTCCTCCGGCCCCCTGTCCCGCGGGGGCCTCACGGTGTCCTCAGCAGGTGCTGGAGAACTACGAGCGGGACGAGAGCAGCGCGCCCGCCCCGGGGGACGTGGTCCCCGCCAGCCTCTACCGGGCCCTGCAGCGGGAGCTGGAGCAGCTGCGGGCACAGGGCGTGAGGGGCGAGGCCGGGGGGCGGCCGGAGGGGCAGCGCGGCACCACCGAGAGAGCCCCGGAACAAATCCCGGAGGGATTCCCGGAGGGAAGCGCGGCGCAGGGGCTCGCCGAGGAGCCGGCCTGGACGTGGGGCGAGTGCAAGGCGGCGCTGGGCGAGCTGCGGGTGCCACCGCCCTCCTCCTCCTCCTCCTCGAGTGCAGAGCTGGCGGAGGCGCGGGCGGCCCTGCAGCAGGCGCGGAAAGCTCTGGACGAGCGGGAGCAGCAGCTGAAGGAGCTGCAGGCCCGGCTGGAGGCCGCAGAGGCCGCGGCCTCGCCGGGAGCCTCCGCAGAGGAGGCGTCGAGGGAGAAGGAAGCGCTGCTGGAGCGCTGCGGGCGGGCGGAGGCCGAGGCCGAGGCGCTGCGGCGGGAGCTGGAGGCCAAGGCGCGGCCGGAGCCGGGAGCGCGCGAGGAGCCGGCGGAGCTGGCGGAGCTGCGGGAGGCGCTGGCGCGGCGGGAGGCCGAGCTGGGCGGCCTGCGGGAGCAGCTGGCGGCGCGGCCCGTGGGGCGGCGGGAGCACGAGGAGGCCCTGGCGCGGCTGCGGCAGGCGCGGGCCGAGGGCTGGGTGCCGCGGGACGAGCACGCCCGCGCCACGGCCGCGCTGGAGGAGCAGGCGCGGGCGCTGCGGGAGCGGCTGGCGCAGCTGGAGGCGGCGGCCGAGGCCAAGGGGCGCGAGGCCGCCCGGCTGGAGGCCGAGCTGGCGGCGGCCGTGCCGCGGGCCGAGCACGAGGCGGCGGCGGCGGCGCTGCGGGAGGAGGCGGCGGCGCTGGGCCGGCGGCTGGAGGAGCTGGGCCGGCGGCACGAGAGGACGTGCGAGGAGGTGTTCAGGGTGCAGCGGCAGGCGCTGTTCATGAAGAGCGAGCGCCAGGCGGCCGAGGACGGGCTGGCGGCGGCGCAGAAGCAGCTGGAGGAGGCGCGGGCCGAGGCGCGGCGGCTGCGGGAGCTCCACGGCCACGCCGAGGACGCGGCTCGGCTGGTCAGGGAGAGGGACAGGAAGGTAGGGGGGGGGCACGGGGGGGGGGTTTGGGGGGGTGGGGGGTCTGACGTTCCCAGCCCTCTGAAACTCGTTTGGCCTGAAAAGTCCCCTCGAGCTTGGTGCGGAAGCCAGAGGGAAACACAGCCACGCTCTGCCTGTGCTCCTCCAAACCCCACAACGCCTGGGAACCTCCTCCAGGGAGGATGAGACAGGACTGACTTGATTTCCCCCAGTTTGGCCCCAGTTCAGCGGCGCTTGCTCAAGCACAGGCTTCATTTGGGTGGCAGAGCTGGGCTAAACCAGAGCAGGAGCACCACGAAGTTCTGCCCTTATTCCCTATTCCTTTTCTCAGGGCTGTTCAGTTCAAACAGGCAAAGGTGGTGCTGGGAGAAGGACTCAGGGGCTTTTAATCCCAGGAAATACCCCCTGGAGGCAGCTCTGCCTCTGGGAGCTGCAGACGTGGAGTTACAGAATGGTTTGGGTTGAGCGGGATCCTAAAAATCATCCAGTGCCACCCCCCGCCACGGGAAGGGACACTTTCCACTATCCCAGGTTGCTCCAACCCAGCCTTGGACACTTCCAGGGATGGGGCAGCCACAACTTCTCTGCCCAACCTGTGTCAGGGCCTCCCCACCCTCCCAGGGAAGAATTTCCTCTGCTCTCCTGGGTCTTCCCTGGTTTTCCCTTCCCCTTCCCAGGCACGGGGTCCACCCAGGGCTGCACCCCAGCGGGGTTGGGGTGCGGGGTCCCCCTGACCTCTGTGCACTCTGCAGATCACGGAGCTCTCCAAGGAGGTTTTCAGGCTGAAGGAAGCCCTGAACACCCTCCCCGAGCCGGGGAAGCCGCCACAGTCCCCCCCCAACACCGCAGCGCTCCAGGACAGGATCCGAGCGCTGGAGGCGAAGCTGGAGGTGGGACCTGGGGGGTTTGGTGGCCGTCACCTGGTGGGTTCTGGGCTCCCACGAGCCCCCAGCCCCGTGGCCAAACCCCACCCCCTGTCCTGCAGGAGACAGAGGTGCGACACAGCAAGGTGGTGACGCTGTACCGGAGCCACCTGCTCTATGCAGTGCAGGTGAGACGGGGACAGGGCTGGGGGGACAACGGGGGACACCACTGGGGGGGACTGGGCCACCTGCCAGCCACGCCTTGGTGCCCACAGCAGGCAAACAAGGGGCTGGGATGGAGGCCGGAGAGACCTGGGGGAAGAGGTGTGGGGGACTGAGGGACTGGTGCCAGCCCAGGGGCGCTTGGGACACACACAGAGACCCCCTGATGTCCCCATCGATGTCCCCTCCACGCCAGGGCCACATGGACGAGGACGTGCAGAGGCTCCTGAGCCAGATCCTGAGGATGCAGCGGCTGCAGGAGCAGAGCAGATGAGCCCCTGCCAGCGTGGCAGTGCCATGGGGGGCGGTGGCACTGCCAGTGACACGGGGTGGGGACGGGTCTGTCACAGCACCCTCTGTGCCCCTTTGCTTGCCCCGTCACTGGCACCCACCCCCCGCACCCACCCGGGCCCCGCTGCCCCCCGACCCAGCACAGCAGCAATAAAGTATTTATAGTCACACCAATTTTGGCTCCTCTCTGGGGGCACCAGGGTGGGCACGGGGGGCTGTGTGGGGGACCTGGGGGGGACAGCAGGGGATCAGTGCCACCATCCCCAGCCCTGCTGTCCCCAGAGGGTGACCTTGAAGGAAGGGGGTTCGGTGGCGGCGTGGGAAGGTGAGAACCCTCTTGGCCAGAGCTGGAATCCCTTTCCCGTGAGCCTGGGGCCCCGAGCGTGGGGATCCCAGTGGAACAACACTGGGAAGTGTGTTGGTTCCCACGGGGGACGGCGTTTCCTGCCCGAGGAAGTGGGATAAGGCTGTGGCTTCCCGCTCCGCTGGGGACACTCCGGTCCCAGAGGCCTGGCCCTGCTGCGGTGAGAATTTTGGGGGACCGGGCTCCCCACGGGGCTGGGGGCAGAGGGGGGGGTGTTGGGGGTCTGGGGTGACCCCACAGCACGTGGTTTAGGGCACTGCAGGAGCCCCAAATCCAAGGAAGGTGAGGCATGTCCCTCCTGGGGTTGAGCCAGCCCAGGGACATGGCGGGAGGTGACAAGGGCAGGATCTGTCCCTGTGGGGCTGGGCTTGGGGACAGCAGGGAGCTCAGCTGGGCCCCTGGGCTGGGTTTTGGGGGTCTCTCTGAGGGATGGTCCCACCCTGGATGTCCATGGGGGTGGGGGCCATCCCAGGGTGCAGGTCCAGGCCTGGAGTGATCCTAAACCTCGATTCCAGGCACGGGACTGCAGGGGTGGCTGCAGGGCCTGGTAGGAAACTGTGGGAACAGCAGGAATTTTCATTCCCTCTCTTCCCTGGCAGCAGGATCTGGTCACCACAGCCAGAATCCATCCCTGTCCCCAGGGTGTGTGGCACAGCCAGAGGGGACACTGAGGCACAGCACTGTGGGGTGGCCCAGAGAGGGGTTTGAACCCCCCCCCCGGCTTCAAGGCGATGTCCCCAGACCCTGTGGTGTCCCTGCTGTCCCCTGCCCTGGGGTTTGATTGTCCTGCCTGTCCCCACAGGTCACTGGGCAGCTCCTCTGAGCCTCCTGACATGAAGTGGCTTTGGGTGGTGGCTTTTGTGGCACCTGCCTGCACCGTCCCCTACAACGGCACTGGGGACAGGGACGATGGGGACAGAGGTACGGGGGACTGGGGGGACTGGGATGGAAGTTGGGAAGAACAGGGGACTGGGATGGAGGGATTGGGGGACTGGGAGGGAGTATGGGGGGGAACAGGGGACATGAGGGGACAGAAACAGGGGCGTGGAGGGATTGATGGTGGAGGAAAAGGGACACTGGGGGCCTGGGGACAGGAGGGCACCAAGGGCAGAGCCGGGGGTCTGGGGGCACTGGGGTGTTGGGAATGGCACTGGGGGGCCCAGCACAGACTCTTCCTGCCCCAGTGTCACCCCCACCATGGCGTGACCCCCTGACCCCTCTCTGGGCCCCCTCCCGTGTCCCCCCCAGCCCGCTGTGTCCCCCAGCACAGCCCCCTGGGCACCGAGGTGCTGCTGCAGTGCCCGGGGGGTCCGGCCGAGTGGCGCCAGGGGGACACCGTCCTGGGCACGTCCCCTGCCCCGGGACTGGCCCTGCCCAACACCAGCCTGGCCCACGAGGGCAACTACAGCTGCCACCACCCCGGCACCGGCGAGACCTGGGCCACCATCTGCCTGCACCTGGGCTGTGAGTGAACCCTCCCCAGCCCCTCCCTGGCCCCCAGTGCTGCTGGAGGGGGTCCCCTGGGGACACCAGCAGTGGGGTGACCCCTGTCCCCTTCCCCAGACCCCCCCTCTCCACCCGCCATCGAGTGCTGGGCCACCAGTTACCCGCAGGCTGTGAACTGCTCCTGGGCTCTGACCCCCGACCCGCTGCTGGACACCGACTTCGTGGCCACGTACAGGTCAGTGAGGGGGTCCCCAAAGCCCGGCTGAGCCCCCCCTGTGTCTGTGTCACCCCTCCCTCACCCAGCTGCCCCCTGTGCCCCCCAGGCACGGCACAGACACGGGTGAGTGCGAGCGCACGGGGCCACGGAGCTGCTCCTTTGGGGACCTGCAGGTGTTTTCCCTCACCCCCTACGTGGTGAACGTGACTGCTGTGAACCCCCTGGGCACTGCCTCTGGAATCCTGCCCTTCCTCCTGGAGAACATCAGTGAGTGCAGCTGGCATGGGGGGACACAGGAGTCCCCTCCACACCCGTCACACCTCACCCCCCACGGGTCTGATCCGGGTACCTTTGGGTCTTTCCCCTCTGGTTTCTCCCCTCCTTGGGATGTGGAATCATCAGTGTGATGATTTGGGGATCTCAGGCCGTCTCTGCAGCCTGGATTGCACAGCTCAGCCCACAGGGAGGGGATACATGGTGTCCCTGGATCCTCCTGGGTGTCCCTGGATCCCCCAGGCACCATCTCCCCCTTCATTTAAAAAAGAAGTAAAAAGACTTTTTACACGGGTGGTAGGACATGGGGAATGGTTTTAATCCACACAAGGAGAGATTCAGATGGGATATTGGGAAGGAATTGTTCCCTGGGAGGGAGGCCCTGGCACAGGTTTTCCCAGAGAAGCTGTGGCTGCCCCATCCCTGGAAGTGTCCAAGGCCAGCTTGGATTGGGCTTGGAGCAACCTGGGCTAGCAGAAGGTGTCCCTGCCCATGGCAAGGGTGGAACTGGATGGGCTTAAAGGTCCCTTCCAACCCAAACCATTCTGGGATTCCCTGATTCCTTATCTCCCTGTTCCTCAGTAAAACCAGACCCCCCTGAGGACCTGAGGGTCTCCCCCATCCCTGGGGAGACCACGAAGCTGCTGCTGGAGTGGAGCCCTCCGGCATCCTGGCCCTTCCCAGAGTACTTCCCACTGAAGTATCACCTCCGCTACGCCCGGGACAACGATTCTGTCCCCACCACGGTACTGCCACCCCCCTGCTCCCACCCGGGGCAAACTGAGGCTGCCCTGCACACACAGGGCCGTGTGCCCGGGTGTCCCTAACCCTGCTGTCCCCAGATCGGGCCATTCGAGCTGACATCCCACATCCTGACCGACGTGGAACCCGGGACCCTCCACCACATCCAGGTGGCCGCCAAGGAGGTGGCGGATTTTGGGGAGTCCAGCGCCTGGAGCCCACCGGCCTCGGGGACGCCTTGGAAGGGGCTGTGATGGGCAGGGCAGGGCCACTGTCCCCTGTCCCACCGAGGGACCTCAGGAACGGGGGCAGGAACGGGCAATAAACCGGCAGCAGGCTCTGCCCCTGTTCTGACTGTGGGATGTTTGTGACGGCTGAGCTGCCCCTGGGGTGGTCCCTTCACTGCCCCAGGACAGTCCCTCTTCTGCCACTGGGGAAGGTCCCTTTGCTGCCCGAGGATGGTCCCTTTTCTGCACCTGGACGATCCCTTCGGTGCCTCAGGACTGTCCCTTTTTACTGCCCCAGGATGGTCCCTTTCCTGCCTCAGGACGGTCCCTATTCTGCCCTCGGGGACTGTCCCTTCACTCCCCCGGGACGGTCCCTTTGCTGCCCCGGGACGCTCCCTGTGCTGCCCCTGGGGTGGATCTCTTTTCTGCCCTTTGACATTCCCTTTTCTCCCCTTCGACGTTCCCTTTTCTGCCCTCTGACGGTCCCTGTGGTGCCCTCGAAATCCATCAGCCCCATTCCCGCCCCGCCATGGCCACAGGGGCGGGCACAGCGCCCTGAACCCCCTCAGCGCCCCCCGGGTGCCTTCGTTGACAGACATCTGAGACAACCAATAGCAGGCGAGTATTCGCCGGCCGGCGGCCCGCTCCACCAATGAGCGGCGGGGAAGGGCGGGGCTATTTTTAGGGAGCGGCGGCGCTGAGGCGTGGGCGGCCATGTTGGACGCGGGCTGGGTGCGGGCACCGTGCTCGCTGTGGGGTCACTGATCACCGTGGGGCCGTTACACCCAAACCGGAGCCCCGGGGCCGTTACTGACCCAGACCGGAGCCCCGGGGCTGGTGTGTCGCCCCCCCCCCCTGCTGGTGCCCGGCGGTCATTACACGTCGCTGCCTTCCCGCCCTCCGGCAGCGGGCGCTGCTCCGTTCCCGCCGCCCGCGGCCCCTGCGCGCGGGGCCGGGCGGCCCCGGGGCGCGGCCCCTCAGGGGCTGAGGCGATGGCGGGGCCCTGGGGGTGAGGCCGAGACGCTGAGGGGTTTCGGGGGAGGGGGGGGGGAAAGGACCCTAAAGGTTATCTGTTCCCACCCCTGCCATGGACAAGGACACCTTCCACCAGACCAGGGTGCTCCAACCTGGCCTTGGACGTTTCCAGGGATGGGGTGGCCACAGCTTCTCTGGGAAATCCATTCCAGCCCCTCATAACCGTCACCGTCAACAGCTTCCTCCTAATATCCCATCTAACCCTGATCTCACATTCCCAGTGCCTTCTTCCTTCACACCCCCTCCTAAGACCTGCATTTGTGTCCAAGGCCAGGTTGGACAGGGCTTGGAGCAACCTGGGCTAGTGGAAGGTGTCCCTGCCCAGGGCAGGGGGGTGGAACTGGATGGGCTTTAAGGTCCCTTCCAACCCAAACCATTCTGGGATTCTCTTCAGTCCCTCACCCTGTAGTGACATCTCAAGAGGCCCTGGTGGCACCCAGTGTTCCCTGGGGCTTTTCCAGGACACTGGGATAGCCCTGCTTCCCTCCGTGAGCCCCAGCGCCTTTGCTGGGCTTTGCTGGTGCTTGCAGAGAGCTCTGCTTTTCTTCAGAATTCCCTTTTCCATGTTTAGCCAAAGCTGGGGCAGGACTCTCCTACCCTCCAGAGAACCCTGGGGCTTTCTCTGCGATTTGCTTAGGACCCAGAGACCTGCCACCTTCCAGAGAGCTCCGAGGGCTTTCCCAACCTTTCCCAGGCTTTGCTGCCCTCCAGATTTCCTTGGCGCCTTTGCCAACCTTTGGAAGGTTTGGAAGTGTCCTTCTGCCCTTTGGGGAGCCCCAGGACCTTCTCGGAATTTTCCGGGGCCCTGGAAGCTCTCCCTGTCCTCAAAGGGCATTTTGGAAAAGGGCTGGTGAAGTTCCCTCTCTCTCCAGCTGATGGCACGATTGGGAGCCTGTGGAGCAGAGATTTTTTTTTTTCCCAGAAAGGCAGACGGAGCGTTGGAAAACGTCCCAGTTTTCCGTCTCGAGTATCCGAGATTGAAGCAGCGCGGTCTCGGCCTCGCACCACGCCAGCATTCCCACCAGGAATGAGCGCAGGGAAGAGCCTGGTTCTTATAAAATGAGAAAATAAATACATGTCACCGGGTCAGGGATGAGACCGGAGTTATCTGCGGGACAAACACCCGGCAGCAAAGGAATTCCAGCCCCAGGAAGGGGCTCCCACCAGCAGGAATTAATGGGATGTCAGCCCACAGGAGAGCTTCCTTCCATAGGACATGTGTGATCGGGGCAATGATCCCTCCAGGCTTCCAGCTCCTCCTGAGCCTGACTTACAGCTGTGTAACCTTCCAAACACACAGCAAAGGGAAAAATCCCTGGGAAAGTGGCGGCTCCCTTCGGCCTCACGCTGACAAATCGGCCCTTGTGTGTCCGTTCCTTGATCCAGCGTCATTCCAGACTGGCTGGGCCGAACACCTGGGCTGTCCTGGGGTGATCCTATAACCCAAACAGCCTCTGGGTTAATCCTGGCCTGGCTGGGATGTGCTTTGGAGCAGCCAGTGGCTCGGGAATGCGGGTTTACAAGGTCTTGCCGTGGCAAAAAATGAATTATGGATATGGGCACAAATTCCCCCTCCTGATTTTGCTTTGCAGTTCGTGGATTTTGCTGGGCGAGCAAGAAAAGACAATAAATTATACTCCTTATTTCAGGCAGGCAGAGTTTAATACCTAAAGCCAGGACCAATTATTTTTATTCCTGGCTCTGTCTCTTGCATCTGTGGATGACCTTAGGAAGGACATCAGCCCTCCAGCAAAATTCCCATATTTTTAGGATGACAATGACGACTAAAACCTCACAAGGTGCTGGAGTGGGACTAGTTAATATTCAAAAGGCTCTTTCAGCTTTTTGTTGATTCAGATCTTACCGAAGCTGCTGCTGCAACACGAGGTTTGCATTGTGAAAATCGCTTTAAACCAGCAGAAATTCCACATTCTTTCTGAAACGCGACGGCAAATTCATGAGAGCTTTTCCAGGATGGTTCCTGTCGGCTCAGTTTTGCGCGTAGTTTGTTTTTTTTCCTCCTCTTAATCAAAAATCTTTGATTTTAGGGTCTGATTAAAAAAACATCCTTGGCAGGGCAGGTTTTATTGGTGCCTGGCAGCTCTCAAATGTCACAGATGTTCCTCCATCGTTTCTGTTCGGATTCTGTGTCTCCAGTTTTCCCCGTAAGCAAAAGACACCACTTTTGATTAACTCCCTTCTTTATTAATTTCTTCTTGTCCTTGGTATCCCCGTTGCCGGAGAAAGAGCTCTCTGGGAATTTGGGAACGCACACAACTGCACAACAAACCCTCTCAGTCAATGAAACCGTGGGCCAACGTCTCGTGAGACGCTTTTCCAACGGGGATCCGTGATCTCCGAGCAAGCTGTGGAAGAGAATCGCTGCAGGAGGAGCTTTTTTTGCTCCTAAAACACGATTTCCCTGGGTTTTCTGGGCCAGCAACACACGGGTGTGTAACTCAAGCCACGACTTGGGAAGAAGGGAGCTGCATACCCTGCCTTTCCTGGGTGGGGGAGCCAGTCCTGGATAGATCCTGCTGGATCTTGGCAGTCCTCACTTAGATCCTTTCCAGCTTGACCTCGGGGATAAGGGGCTTTTTGGGGAGCTGCCCCTTACAAACCTTGTCCTGATCTTCTCGCACCTTCTCAAGGCTCCTGTGTTTAGTTTGGGGCTCGTTCTCCCTCAGGATGAAGTAACTTCACAATTCCAGAGCTCCTGAGTGACCCCCCCTCTGTGCCAGGCTCTGCTGGGGCAGGGAAAGGGTTCCCGGTGCCGTCCCCTCCCTCTTTTCCTTTTACAGCACCTCCAGCTGCAATAAAAGCTGCTGATTCCCATTTAATGGATGATGTTGGTCACTAACAAGCTCACCTCCCTCTTAAAACCCAAGGCTGATCCCAGGAGATCTAATTTAGGAAGCACGTGGAAGGCAGGGGTGTCCTCGAGGGCGGAACCTCCCTGCAGGCAAAAATATTCCGGCCTGGAATATTTTTATCCACCAAGCTGAGCTGCCAGAGGCTCTCAGCACCACCTGAGCGTGGTGGAGGACACCCTCACCTTGACAACAGGGATTCATGGAGTGTGCAGGCACTTCTGGGTGGCAGCAGGAAGAAATTCTTCCCTGTGAGGGTAGCGAGGGGCTGGGATGGATTTCCCAGAGAAGCTGTGGCTGTCCCATCCCTGGAAGTGTCCAAGACCAGATTGAAGCAACCTGGGATAGTGGGAGGTGTCCCTGCCCATGGCAGGGGGTGGGAATGGATGATCTTTAATGTCCCTTCTGACCCAAACCATTCTGGGATTCTGGGATTCTCTAAATCCTTTTTCCCAACAAGGACATTTGCTTCCAGTGATATTCCCATCTTCTCCTCAAAGTGCTGGGTGATGTTGGGGGGCGGGAGCACTGTTGTATTTATTAATATGGGAAAGCTTGAAGTCATTTATGGTCCTCCCAGTGATCTGATCTTTGTGTCTGAGCAGATCTCCAACCTACCTGTGCTTGGAGTCTCCATCTCCTTCCCCTCCCTGAACAGCACCCGAACTTCCAACCCGCCTTTTCCACTCCACAATCCGGGAAAGGGCCCCATCCACGGCCTGTGGTTTGTGTGAGTGCCAACTCTGCGTCAGAACCCCCCCAAAATCGTGACACCCACCCTCACAAACACCCTTGTGGTGTGAGTGACAGGGAGCCAGAGGGGATCTCGGGGTGTCCAGAGACAACCAGGAGACATGAAAGCCGACGGCTTCACCCTCTTCAATATGGTCTTCTTTAAACTATGTTTTTACTTCGGATTCGGGCTGCCAATAACTCATTCAAACAATGATCTAATGCCTGTGTGAATGTTTGTAAAACCTCACTGCTCTGGCAGGTTGAGCTCTTGCCAAAAAGCAATCACATGTAATTAGGGAGATGGAATTTGAATATCCCGGCCTTGCAGTGCCGCTTATTTTCCAGTCGTGTTTGTACCACTTGAACCATCCCATCAACTGGGGTTTGTGGGACACGCTCCTGTCTCCAAAGGGATCTTCTCTGTGGGCACCACTGCCAAAAACCTGCCTGGAAAGTGGCTGGGAGGAGATACCTGTGCTGGGCTGGAACTGCCAGTTGTGCCCGATGGGCATCACTGGCTTGGCTTTGGAGGAATTAAGGATATAAGGAATTCCTTATGTACTCCCCTGGGGCTGCCACAGTCCCACACCGGGCTGTGATCAATTAATGGCCATGTCCTTTCTGGGAAGAGCTTTGTTCATGCCCGAAGGCAAGAGGAGGGGAAAACTTTGCAGGATAAAATCAGCATCACGCCCGTGTGACAGCTGGAAATGGCTCTGCTGGTTTCTCTCACATCACCTGCTCATCCCTCCTTTTCCTTGGACAATGCCAGAGTGACAAGGACAGAACCTGGCACAGGCAGAGCCCCAAATGGGCTTCCAGGTTCTCTCTCCACCTTCCAGTGTCTCCCGCTGTGCAGAAAATTCCTGAGGAGGCTTTTTAGTCGTGTTGATCCCTGAGTGAGCACTGGGAGCATCTAAAAAGCTCAGAGCTTCTTGAGGGAACACCTGGAAAATCCCTTTCCCTGACAGCCACACGGCTTGACAGGGCTCCTGTAGGATTGGTGAAGTAGAGCCATGGAATAGTCTGGATTGACAGGAATCTTTAAAGTCCAGCCCCTGGTCAGTGGTTGCTGCTCACACAAGTTCCCAGCTTGGTGGGAAATTTGAGCCTGTCCAGGCCAGGAGACCCCAGGAGTTCCTGAGGAAAAGGAATGAGGTATTCTTTTCCCACATGGAATTTAAATTGCAGTCTTCACCCTCTCACCTGGCACCTGAGGCCCCAAAGGACACTTCCAAGCAAGTTGGGAATTTCAACATGGACAGTTAGATGAGAAAACTGGCCTTGAAATTCCTCCAACATCCTGGGAATTCCCTTCACTCCCTTGTCCTGTTCTGCACTTCCTGGGGTGTTGTCCTGAAACAACAGG